TTTACCTTATCGTTTAATAAGGACGAGCTTCTTCCCTTATCGCTACGCGACCTAAATAGAGCTATCTTCCTTAATAAAACTAAGATAATAACTAGCGCCCTTAGAACTATATAGATCGCTACTATCTTAGCTAACGTCGTTAATAAGCTCTTATCTAGATAGGTAGTATCTATAAACGCTAAGATACTTAAGATCGTCGCTACTATTACTAGTATAAAGTGCCTCCTTACTTATTTAAAGATATTTAAGGCCGCCGCTATAAAAGAGTATAAGGCCTTTAGTATACTAAGAACTTATAAGTTTAGAGAGACCCTTAAGTATACCCTAGCTAGGACTAAAGGATTTAGTATAGTAGACCTTATATTCGACGAGCTATTAAGGAACCCGTTTACTAAACGCTTACTTACTACTACCGCGGCCCTACCTTTTACTCCCTTTAAGCGGGCTAACCTATTCGCTAAGGAATAGGCCCTAATACTAGTCTAATAAAAGCTTAACCTCTTTTAGTTCCTAAGCTATAGAAAGCCTAGACTATTCCCTATTATACCTTTTATAGTATACTATAATAACCTAGGTAATATAAACGGCTATATAGGTATTATTTACTCTAGGTTAGAAGCGCTAGTTTATAGAGCCCTAAATATAGCCGTAATCTAAGTAAATCTATTTACCGCTATCTATAAGAAGGCCGACGCTAACCTCTTAGTTAGCTAGTACGCCGCCCTTACTAGAGTGCTTACTAGCTTTATTTATTAGTTCGCTTTCGCCGCTTACCTCTTAAACGACTTACTTAAGCTCGCTATAGTATATTAAAGAGCCGCCCGCGTTAGCCCCTTATATACGCTAGCTACGGCCCGCCCTTATATTGCTAATATAATAGCTTATTTTAACTTATTAAACTAGAAGTTTACCGATATATACTTAGGCGGATTCTAGAACCTAGGCCTAACTATATAGGTATTAGTAATAGTAATCTATAACTAAATTCTAGCCTCTTATAATAAACTAGCTATAATACTCTTAGTAAAACTAGCTTTAAATAACGCTTATAGCGTGCCTATTTATAGAGCCTCCGATATATAGGATACCCCGGCCGACGTACTAGTAGGCCCTAAGGAACTAATAGAGGACGAAGCTAAGGAGGAGATCCCCCGCCTTACCCTTACCCCCGCGGTATAAGATAGTCGGTTACTAGGTTAGCTTTATAGTATCCCTAGCCCTATTCGTTTTATTACTAGCTTAGCTATAGAGCGCCCCCGGTTATAATTAGTTTTCCCTAGCTTAGCTATACTATGCCCTTAGCCTTACTCGTTTATTACCTTAGTTTAGCTACTTAGTGCCCCTAGTCTTAGTAGTATTTTACTCTTAGCTTAGCCGCCTCGCGCCCTTAGTATTAGTTATACTAGGTTATATTCTAGATAAGAGATAAGTTATTCTTTATACTAACCTTAGAAATCTATATAACTTTACTATAATCCCTTATTAGCGCGACTCCTACTTAAATACCGTGGGAAACTAATAAGGACGTTAGTTAATTCTTTTACCCTAGGTATTTATTATAGGATACCCTATAGTCGATAATCTAGGTACCTAGAACGATATCTACTTCTTTTAAGGAAGTTACCCTTAACTCCTTAAGGCTCCCCGCGAAAGAAAGAACCTAGAAGCTACTAAGTAAACTCTAGGAAATTACCTAGAAATCCTAGAAATAATAACTAAGCGGATTATATAGATATTTTACGGAGATTTCCCTTAAGGATATATTATATAAGGAATATACTATAATTTCCTAAGTATTAATAGCTCCTTAGGGACTATATTAATATTTCCTTAAGAAGTTACTATAAGAATATAGCGGGGAAATTATAAAGAAATACCTATACCTACTTAGGGAAAATACTAGGAAATACCGTAAATATACTATACTACTATTATATAATTATAAGGTTAAGATATTACTTAGTTAAGGCCCTAAGTAAGGTCTTACGCTCGCTATAGTATATATAAAGGATAGAGAACCTATTAGATCTTAGGCGGGTAGAGAAGAATATAGATAGTTATTACTACTCTTACTTTAACTTATAAACTAGTAGCTAGTCCGTATTTAACGCGCGTAATAACGTATAGTAGCTAGTTTATATAATACGTTTAATTATATACGGTAGCTAGTCTATTTAATTACCTATTAAACCTATACTAAATCTAGGTAGATAGTAAGGTTAATATACTAGCCCTATACTAAGGGACTAGTGCTTAATACTTAGTATAGAGCTATACTTATCTAAAACTATAAAAGGTATAAGATAGTACTTAAGGCGCTTATTTAGTAAGGCCTAAGAGGTTTTAAGAGTACTAAATAGTAGAGGTAAGGCCTTAAGCTAAGGGAGGGGTAGAGGCTATACTAGCTAAAAGGCTAGTAAAGAGGTAGGGAGCTATAACTATAGCCCTAAAGAAAAAGAAAGAGAGGGAGGAGAGGCTAGGGCGGCTATTTAAGCTTAAGAAAGCTAGGGCCGCTCTAAGGTAGAAATAACTTAAGATATATTCCCTTAAGGAAATCCGTTAATAAGCTTAAGCGATAATAACTAGCGCCTTTAGCCTAGCTAAAAAAGAAGATATTTAAAAGGACTACTAGCACGCTTAACTTAATCTCTAACTAGCTTATATTTATAGCTAAATAGGTAGGTATTAATAGTCTAAGTTAAAGTTTAAGGATATAGTAAGATACTATACTATTTAGTAAGATAATCTACCTTATTAGTTATTAAGTACTAAGTTAAATATAAACTTAAAGAGGAAGAATAATAAGCGGTTAGTTTTTACTTAAGTAGAATAAGCTATAGTTTCTAGCTACTAAGAATAAGTAGCTTTCTTCGATACCTTTAATAGGTCCCTTAGTATAAATTAATAATAATAATACTATACTTATAAGGGCCTTTACCTTATATAGGTTTAAACTAAGGTTTAAGCTAAGCTTATATATAAGCGGCCTTTATACTTATATAGGCTAAGCTTATACTTCTCTTTCTTTTCCCTTTTATAGATTATTAGCCTTCTTCTTATAAATTATATTTATACTTATACCCTTACTTACTTTATAATTATATAATCTACTTTTTATTTAATCCTTTTTATATCGCTATATATAGAATAGCTACTATAGCTATACTTAAAGCTAACGTTTAATTATATAGTCTAATTAAGCCGCTCCTATACTTATATAAATATCGTAGATAACGTTTACTAGAGCTAGCGTTATAAAGCCCTTAGCTATATAGAGACTAACCTTAGTAACCCTCGCCGCCTCCCTTATAGGCCCGTTATACCCGCGCCTATATAAATAGCGTAGATAACGTTTACTAGAGCCGGCGTTATAAAGCCCTAAGCTATATAGAGACTAACCTTAGTAATACTTACTACTTTCCTTATAAGCCCGTTATATATATATTTTTTATCTTCTCCTATAGCTTAAAAAGAGGATATCTTTATCTCTACCTTAAGGACTAAGGATAGGAAGAGGTAGCGGTAGGAGGGCCGCTATATAGGCTATAGTAGTAAATCCTATTAGTTTTTAAAGTACCCGCACTAAAGGGCGTAGGTAAATATACTCTAAGTAGTAAAGGGGTATACGCGCTAAGATAGAAAGGAGGTTAAGTTTAATAATAGCGACTTTAGTAATAAGTAATCTTAGTAATACCTCTATAAGCTCTATAAGCGGTCCCTTATATATAGTAGTAGCTATATAGATAAAACGTATACTTATAGTAACTAAAAGGGCGGCTAAGATATAAAAAGGCCGCTAATATAATATAACTATAGCGAAAGAGAGTATTTATATAGCCCTATATAAAAGGGAGCGGAGCTTTATATACTAAAGTACTATCCTTTATATTATAGTACTAAGAGCTACTACTATATACTAATATAAGGGGGGTAGGATACTATAACCTACTAAAGCTAGCTATATACTATTTTATATACCTTTACTCCTTAACTATAAGTACTTAAGTCTAGCTCTTAGGGCGCGGTCCCTACTAATAATATAGTCTATCTAAGAAGCTTACGTAGGAGGGTATTATATATTATTTACTAATATCTTTTTCTACGACTAAGCGTATATAGTTTATAAAAGGGTTCTATCCCTATAGGTATAGTATTAAGTATTATTTAAAGTCGCGCCTCTTTAAAGCTAGGTAGGGGTATAATATAAGGGCTTTTGCCTTATATAGGCCTAGACTAAGGTCTAGGCTAAGCTTATACTTCTCTTCCTTTTCCCCTTTATAGGTTATTAACCTTTTTCTTATAAACTATATTTATGCCTATACCTCTACTTACTCTATAATAATACTAAGGCTAAGAGGTATATAAATATAAAGCTAGCTTTTAATATACTAAGCTTAATTAAAGTATATAATATAAAGAGATACTACTTAAATTTATATACTTTAATAAAGTAAGCTAATAAACCTAAAGTAGTAATATAATACTTACTTAAGCCCTAAGTAACTTTATAGAAAAAGTAGCTTATAATAAACTTATAAGCTTTATCCTAAGTATATAGTTTAGTAAGATATAAGTAGTAGTTAAATAGCTATTTAAGGTAAAGAGTTATACTTATAGCGCGTTATTAGTAGTACTTTATATAAATAAAAGCTTTAAAATAATAATCTAAGATATAATTAAAGATCTATTTATTAAGATAAGAGAGAGGCTTATATAGGTATAGTAACTATAAATAGCTAGCTAAAAGAGGGCATTAAGATATTCCTATACCTAAGTTAGGCCTATATTATATCTTTAGGCTAGGGGAGTTATATTAGTTAGGCAGGCTCCCTAATATATAACTATTAGGTCTATAGGGCACTGTTCTAGTCTCTTAAGCCTACTCTCCTTAATAGTATTTTACTTTTGCTTGCATGGCGCGATGGTCTTTACGATAGAATCCTAAAGCTTCCTCCACCCGAATTATCAGCGGTATTAATATTCCGAGATAGCTAGACTTGTTATAAAGATTCCTGCGCAAATTGGAGCCATTCTTTGTCTTGTCCCAGGCGCTTAATAACATCCTTCTCAAGGGCTATCAGCAGCTCTAGATCATCTCCCTTTTTTTGAGGCAACACATTGACCCAGCCATCCTTGACTGGCGCGTACGCAAAGCGTATAGCCTTCACCTTCCCCAGCCGACATCCCCAGTCAAGTTCGAGAACATCTCCAATCGTCGCGGTGTTGCTGACCTCCAGATCTGGGCCTTGAAAGTTATCCATGTCGGGCTCTATTTTGCTGATCATTGCACTAGACTCAATTGCTCCAATCAGCTCCCAAATCCGCTCCGACGTCCACCACTCGATTGCATGGGTGATTTGTCTTGCCAACATGTACAGCGTTCCAGGCTCTGCCGACACCACATCAGAGACTGCTGCAGAAGTCTTGGCGTGCACGAGTGCGTTGCCTGCATATTCCAGCGGAAGCGGGGGGTCCATTCGCCTCCTGACATTGACAGTGCTGATGAAGGAATTTGTCGTGATGCCCAAAGAGGATAACTGTCGCGCTCGGGATATATGACGCCACAGCGCCGCGCATAATATTGCGTGGTTTGTCAAGACGGTCGAGCCTTCTGTTTCATGTAGCGGCGATGCAGCCTCTCTCAATGCGAGCAGCGACTTGCCCGAGACAACCCAATGTGAAAGTTGGAGTTTCTGTAGCAGCTGGAGTTGCTCGTCCCGAGCGACAATAGCCTCAAGTAGCGAGTTCTCTCGAGCGAATCGGTAATTTTCGCTCACTCGATAGTTCGGAATATCGCAGAGCTGTTTACGTCCGCCACCTCTAAAGATGTTTGATCGGTCAAGTGCTTCCTCCGGAAATACATCCTCTGACGAAACGAAACGGCCTTCCGACAAGGCCGCAAGATGCTTTGCAAAGGTCTTGATAAAAGGTTTCATTCCAGTACCGTCAGTCACAGAGTGGTGATTGTTCAACGCCAGCAGCAGTCCGCCGGTGATGAATGTCGCTAGCACGGTGAGGACAGGAGTTCGTTGCGAGCGGTGAAGCCGTGGCTCTGGTACCACCGATGATAGGAACGGAAATGCCGAACATGGAAATCTTCGGCGCTCGAGTGCGTGATAATCGATTTCTGGCAGTTCCTGGGAGTGGAACCATACTCCGGCGCCGTCCGAGATTTCCAGTTGAATTGATCCCTGCTCCTCGCAGTCTGGCACAACGTCTGCCGCCAAAAACGACAATTCCCCAATCGTGTTCGCAAGACTGGTTTTCAAGTCTCGCAATAGCGGCTGCCGAAGAGCAGGCAAGGGCATTTGGAAGATCAGCACCGCGGGGATTATGACCCGATTCTCGACTTGGTCCAGAGCAGGCAGCTTCACCCATTCGGGGGTTAATGGGACGCTCGGGGTAACAAAGGTACTTTGGCAGTTCTTAGACAAAAGAGTCGGTGAGAGCAAGTCCGTGGGATACATGCAGTCGTCCTTGCGGTCATAAAGTGGCATGCCGTCCCCATTGGCAGCCGCATGCTGAGAAGGTTGGACAAGCATTGTAGTCGGTTGAGGGTCGTGCGTTTGGGCGGCCATGTAGGGAAGTGTAAAGACACTCGACTACCTTTCGTTGCTAGACTTAGATCTTGGGAGGCCAGTGGAGGATAGGTTCAGGTAATCGGAAGAGGTTACCGCAGACAAACTAAAGATTAATTCAGCCAAACCTGGACAGAAAGCCTATATATAACTGTGATCTTATTCTTTTGCCCGGCGTGATATGCGACTTCACTGCCGGCACGAAGTTTCAAGGCAAGAGCTTACGCGATACATTAGGGAAAACACGTTGATACGTGGTCGATAAGTAAGGGAGGGTAAATGATGATTTACATTTGGCCGAGACAGGAATCTGACCTGTTGGCCGAGACATGACACATTAATCAACGGAACCACACCCTCCTTTGCCCTAATTTCTCTCCTTGCGCTAGACCAGGATATGCATCACTAATTTCACCGATTTGAGCCACCTGTTTCTTCCAGCCATGGAGACGCGGCCGGCCGTGGAGACCGCCTATTTCTTCCACCGCGCTCTTGAGCCAATGCTTGAGACATAGACTGGGCCACTTGCATCAGGCACTGGTCTCAACACCATGTTCGGAGGTGACCTCCTGCACTTTGGGCCGCTGGTACGGAGGCATGCTTCAATGTCTGGCTTGATAACTTTAGCGCCCTTTTTATAGTCAGTCTCTTTATCTAGGGCTCAATAGCGTTAAGATTAAGTGAATTCTCGCATTAAAGGAGACGCCGGACTTGATAGGTATCATAACGTTATAATTCACGCCCGGGTCGCGATATCAAGGTTTTTATTTCGTATAGTTATTATATAAAAGGAGAGGAATACCGAGGTAAGATATAGTAGAAACTTATATACGGAGTACGGGGTTACTATCCCAGCTTTGCCCTTTTCTTTTTCCTAATAGGGGTCGGCTTTAGCGTGGGCAAAGATTTTTGAAGACTGCTTCCGATTAACTAGCACTCGTCTAATTTGGGTGAAGGCATCCGAAAGATGAAAACTCAAGTCGCCAAAAGTCACCAGCTGAACGCAAATAGAGTTCAGCGTCTCGCCTTCTTCCGTCCGCTATTTAAGTTGCACCTCCGCCAGCCTTCGTATACGTGGTCGATCATAACCTGATCAACTCTCCAATTGAGGTTTGTGAAGTACCATTCCCATCTTTTTCGTCCGCCACATTAGCAAATCGGGTCTCCTTGCCCGCGTCACCGGTCATCGCTCGTGCACGAACCGCCTGTCATCGGTCGGACTTGACAATAGGCAGGCATTCCCTTTCCTGCCGTCCATCATGGCCGCCTCAGATGGAACCGGCCAAATGCCTATAGCCGTTGTGGGAATGTCATGCCGTCTCTCAGGCATTGCCACCAGCCCGGAAGGCTTGTGGCAGATGCTATCAAGGGGCCTGACAGGCTGGTCACGTAATGGGGGCAACCGCTTTCACATGGACGCTTTCTGGCACCCGCAGGCTGAATCCAATGGCTCGGTGAGCAACCAACCCGTCGGCTATGGTTCTTCGTCCTCCCAATGTACTGACAAGGGTAATGCTTAGTTCAACACTCGTGGGTTCCATTTGATCAAAGAAGATCCCGCATTATTCGACACACTGTTCTTTGGGGTCAGCCATGTGGAGGCATCCGCGATCGATCCACAGCAAAGAATGCTGCTTGAAGTTGCGTACGAGGCGTTTGAAAACGCGGGAATGGCTTTGAAGAGGCTTGACGGCTCAGACACAGGTGTATACTGCGGAATCTCAAATTCCGACTACGACAAGATCTTGGGCATGGATCCCGAGTTATCCCCAATGTGAGATGCCAGTCGGTTGGATGGTTCCTTGAAGTCGCTAACGATATGTAAGCTACCGGTTCACCGGCACCGGAAATGCACTCGTTTCCAATCGTATTTCGTACATCTTTAATTTGCATGGGCCTAGCATCACTCTCGACACCGCTTGCTCCAGTGGACTCGTCGGGATCAATGAAGCTTGCAAAGCCATCCAGGCTGGAGAGGTGACGCAGGCATTAGTTGGTGGCACCAACTTGATCCTTGATCCAGACAAGGTCACAGTCATGTCTTCTATGCAGCAAGTACTCTCGAACAAATTGAAGAAACACAGCTGACCATTTAACCTCGCGACAGATTCCTTTCCCCCCACGGTCGCTGCTATGCTTTCGACTCTCGTGCCAATGGTTTCGGGAGAGGTGAAGGCGTGGCTGCCGTTGTGCTGAAGAGATTAGACATGGCTCTGGCTGACGGTGATCCGATACGAGCCGTCATCCGTGGCAGCAACGTGTGCTCGGACGGTCGCACACCTGGCGTGACGATGCCATCATGTGATATTCAGACGAGGATGGTTCAGAGGGCTTACGAGCTGGCAGGCCTCAGCCCCAATGACACAATTTACGTGGAAGCGCATGGTATGTTTCCGGTCACGGCGACTCGATGCAGAGGGCGCTCACACCTGGAACAGGAACCGGGACCATCGTGGGAGACAGGATAGAAGCCACCGCTTTACACGACTCCCTCTGCAAGGGAAGGCAGAGGGCCAAAAGATTGTTTATTGGGAGCGTCAAGGCGAACGTGGGGCACACCGAGAGCGCGGCCGGATTGGTCGGCCTAATCAAAATCGTCTTGATGCTCGAGAAGAAGATGATACCCCCAAATGCCATGCTTGCAAAACCGAGCAACAACATTCCGCTCGAAGACTGGGGCATGGAGGTGCGTTTTCTAGATTATTGTGGAAGCTGAGACTGACGCGTGTCGTGTAGGTGCCCCGAAGGATGCTCAGGTGGCCTGAAGATGCTCTTCGCCGCGCGTCGGTAAACAGCTTTGGATATGGAGGCACAAACGCTCACGTCATCCTGGAGGCGGCAGATGATTATCTCGACATTGCGAAACCTGCACACCCACCGGATCCTCGAGCGAGCATGGGTGAGCACTTGACCCTCGGACCTTCATCAACGGCTAACGTTGCGAAACAACGTCTTTTTCCGTTCTCGCACCATCATGATGGGGGGGTCGGGGCACTGGCGGCCAACATCAAACGTTTCATTGCCGACACCCTGGATGATACCAACGACGCTCTGGACAGCCTTGCTTACACGCTCTCAACTAGGCGATCTTCCCTCAAGGTCCGTTTTTGTGTGGCCGCTTCCACTTGTGATGAGCTTGTGGACGGGCTTACGAACATTACCACGGGCTCGGAGCGGGCGACGAATCACGCCGAAGACCTGAAACTATGCTTCATCTTCACAGGTATGTCAGTCCCGAAGACAGGCAACATAATGTGCATGATGGGCTTATCAGAATTCAGGTCAGGGTGCCCAATGGGCAGGCATGGGCCGCGAATTGTTGGGCACGTACCCCGTCTTCGCCGACTCATTGAAGCGATCTGAGGATTATCTTGTCAACCTCGGGAGCGGTTGGCGTCTTATCACCGAGCTGGAAAGGTCCGGTGATACTTCTCGTATCCACGAAGCCATCTTGTCCCAGCCTTGCTGCACAGCTATCCAGATTGCACTCATCGACCTGCTCAAGTCTTGGGGCATTCGGCCGACCGTGGCGTGCGGGCACTCGAGCGGAGAAATTGCCGCGGCAAACGCAGCGGGTATTCTCTCAGCCGAAGATTGCTTGAAAGTCGCATATTTTCGCGGACGCTCCATGAAGTTGTTCAAAGAGCAGAATCCAAATCTTCGCGGGTGCATGCTCGCCGTCGGACTTTCGGCACGCGAAGCCCGAGAATACATCGACGAGGATTCCACCTCCGGCAGAGTCGTGATAGCTTGTGTCAACAGTCCGCACAGCGTCACTCTGTCAGGAGACGCGCTGGCGTTGGACAACCTTCAGGAAAGACTAGCTGCTGGAGAAGTCTTCCATCGCAAGCTGGCTGTTGACGTGGCTTATCACTCTCACCACATGGAAATGGTTCTTGAAGAATACCTTGGCGCCATACAAGACATAAAACCCTCTCCATGCGAGCAGCATATCCAGATGGTCTCCTCCGTCACAGGGGAGACTGTTCGAGGCGAAGAGCTGGATGCGGCCTACTGGGGTACGAATCTGACGTCTCCCGTCCTCTTCAGCGATGCTTTTGCAGAAGTCCTTCGCACACTGCGAACGGATCAAAAGCAAAGCAGTCCACTCGCCGTCGTCGAGATTGGTCCTCACGCTGCGCTTTCAGGTCCGGTGAAGCAGATTTTCAAAACATCCAAACTCTCGGGATCAACCACCTATCACTCTATGCTTTCTCGAAATCAAGACGCCACTAGGACCGCGATACTTCTAGCACGCGACCTCTTTGTCAAGGGAGCTTCCATAGATTTCAGTCAGGTAAACGATCCGCACGGCAATGCGAAGAGGGACGTCTTGACAAATTTGCCACCGTACAATTGGCACCACATCACAGCTCACTGGTGCGAGTCCCGCCGCAGCGCTCAATATCGACATCGGAAATTCCCTAAGCATGATCTCTTCGGGGTAGCCAGCATGGACAGTATCCCGACTGAACCCACCTGGCGTAACTATCTCCGTCTTGCAGAACTGCCTTGGCTCAGGGGACACTGCATTGGAGGTCAAGTCGTGTTCCCAGGTGCTGGTTTTGTTGCCATGGTCTTGGAAGCTTTGAAGCAACAGATCCTCAGTGAAGGTAATGCCTGGAAAAACATGCGTATCAAATTTCGGCAAGTCTTTTTCAGTCGAGCCCTGGTTGTTCCCGATAACGCTGTCGGCGTGGAGACGTTGATGACTATCCGACCTTACACGTACACAGCACGAGAATCATCGACTTCGTGGAAAGAGTTCCGAATTTTCTCGCTGTCCGCCACTGGAGAATCAACAGAGCATAGCAGGGGTCTAGTAACTGCTATCAGTCATTCGGCTAATGGGCAGCACCTGGAGCTGACGGATTCTGAATCTCTCGAGTTCGTCGAGGAAGCTGTGAAGAACAGCCGCGTTCGGCTCACTGCAAAAGAGCTATACAAGGAGCTTAGTGGCATCGGGATGGAGTACACCGGTCCGTTCGAAGGCCAAGAAGACATGCGAGCATCCGAATCTTCATCGATCCGTCCAATCAAGATCCCAGACGTTCAGGCCATTATGCCTTCGAATCACCAGCAACCCCATTGTGTCCATCCGGCAACATTGGACCTCTGCTTCCAAGCGTCCTTCGCCTCCATGAAAGTCAGAGACAAACTTCGGGGTACCTTCGTCCTCACTGGAATTGATAACCTTGAAATCTCGAATGAGGTTCCGTCCCAACCCGGGGAGGGAATGTCAGTCGCGACGTGTCTCAGGAATCGTGGCGTCTCCAATTACGCAACAGATCAAATCGTCTCAAGCCCCGAGGGCGCGACAGCGGAGGTTTTCATGAAGATGCAGGGGGTCAACTTCGCTAGGACAAGTCGATTGTCTCAGCAGAATCCGGTCGGAGAATTGCGGTGCCATCGTTTGGAATGGTCCATTGATTTGACTTGCGCCGAGCCTCGGAGAATTATCGAGCGTTGCGTTCCCGACTCTCCGAACGCGTTGGAAGCAGGAAAACTGGCCCTATACGACCAATTTGCCAGGGCTGTCATTCAACGGGCACTGGAAGAAGCCTCTCCTGACGAAGCAAATATCACGGGCCCGGCTTCTCATCTGCATCAATGGATGAAGTTGATGAGCGCTGGTAGCCACGAGCCACTTCAGGTCGACGATGCGCTTCAAGACAAGATCAAGTCTTTGGGAATCTATGGCGAGGTTTTGGTTGACATAGCCCCTCAGCTGCCAGGTGTCCTCCGCGGACAAGTTGATCCTTTGGCACTTTTTCTTGAGAAGGATCGTCTGAGCCGACTTTACAAGAACGAAAACACCGACAGATGTCACGAGCGGTTGGCCAAGTATGTCAAACTTCTGCAATTTAAGAACCCGAATTTCCGGATCCTTGAGATCGGGGCTGGAACGGCAGCCACTTCGATGGCTGTTCTGGAAACTCTTCATGACGACAAGGTTGCTTCAGGAAAGGCCAGGTTGGAGTCTTACACTTTCACTGACATATCGACGGGGTTCTTCAACAGTGCAGCACAGAAACTGAATAGGTTTCAAGAGTCTTTAGAGTTTAGGAGGCTTGACATCGAAGTATCGCCAGAACAGCAGGGGTTTGAACCTGGTTCGTATGACTTGGTCATTGCCTCGAATGTTTTGCATGCGACTCATGAGCTCGACAACACGCTGAAAAACGTGAAGAGCTTACTCAAGCCCGATGGTCAGCTTGCTCTTATGGAGATTACCGTGCCAAAAGCCCACCTCGGAATCATATTTGGCATGCTCCCTGGATGGTGGCATGGTGTCAATGATGGTCGGGTAAACTCACCCCTTCTCGATCCATCTGGCTGGCGTCATAGGCTCAGCCGCTGCGGCTTCTCCGGAATCGATCTCGAGCTGCCCGACTATGACTCTGCCGAGGACCACTATCTAAGTGTCATGATTTCTACAGCAACCGGCCACCTAGAGCCGTTTTCTCCGGCTGCACTGACCATGACGAGAAGCAAGTCGAGTGCTTCGGAACCTTTTGATTCAGAGTCCGCTTCTGTCGAACTTGAGTCACTCCCAACAACCCCGGAGGACCCGGGAAGAGGCCCTCTGCGGACTGTATCGGTGATTAGTGGCAGCGAGGGGCACAGCGTTGCAGACCACGTCGTCGACCTATTGACCTCGGCCCAATTCGGCATAAACGCCAAGAGGACCCGGCTCGCTGACGCGGAAGTTCTTGATGGACAGCTTGTCGTGGTACTGCTAGAGGCAGTAAACCCATTCCTGGCGACATGCTCCAAGAGTGAGTGGGACAAGGTTCAGCATATACTGTCCAATGCTGGTGGCGCCTTATGGGTCAGCTGTGGGGGTGCTGTCGAGGCCAGGAATCCTCTGCACTCGCTCATCACTGGCCTGACGCGCTGCCTGCGAACGGAAAACCAGGCCAGCAGCGTCGTTACGCTGGATCTCGAGCCAAATCATGCATCAGGGAACGATGCTGCTGAGCAAGTTGTCCGAGTGTTCGACCATACGTTCGGTCTATACGCACCGCGAACGTCTGCACTGCTGGAATTCGAATACGCAGTCCGAGATGGCGAGATCTTGATTCCTCGCTTGATGGGCGACAGTCAAACGGATGAGTACGTCATGGACAGCGTGTCGACCTACCATCCTCGGAACGAAAGGGCGATCAAAGCAGGCCGTGCTCTGAGCCTCCAGATTCACGAACCTGGACTTCTCGACACGTTCTACTGGGCGGACTCGCAGCGGCACTCGCGACGGGTTGAAGCAGATGAGGTTCGGGTAGAGCTCCAATATGTCTCGCTCAACTTCAAGGACATCATGATAGCCATGGGCGAGCTCGAGGGGCACACGGCCTTGCTGCTAGAAGGCAGCGGAAAGGTTGTTGAGGTTGGTGAGCAACTTCGCCATCAGTACGCTGTTGGTGATTTGGTCCATGTCTCGGATAGAGATGGCCTCGCAACCACCAGTGTCGTCGACCAGTGGAATCTCAATCACATACCCAAGAAGATATCGATGGAAGTCGCCACGGCCGTTCCCCTGGTCTACGCCACAGCTTTGTATTCACTGAGGAATGCTGCCAATCTCCAAGAGGGCGAGTCCATCTTGATTCATTGCGGAGCTGGAGCGGTTGGTCAAGCTGCCATTTCCCTGTCGCAGTATCTCAAGGCCGGCGCGATTTACGTCACGGTAGGCAGCGAGGAGAAAAGAGCACTCGTGAGAGAGAAATTCCAGATTCCGGACGAGAACATATTCTCCAGTCGCCGTCTCGATTTCAGCCGTCATATTCTTCGCAAGACCAACGGACACGGCGTCGATGTTGTTCTCAACTCACTCAGCGGTGAGGCTTTGCAAAAGAGTTGCTCTCTCCTTGCGCCATTCGGACGGTTTGTTGAGATTGGTAAGAAGGATTTGATCTCCAATGCGAGGCTCGAAATGAGTTCTTTGGAAAAGAACATCACTTTTACCGCCGTTGACTTGGCGTTGCTTGCCAAGGCAAAGCCGGCCGTCTATCAACAACTCGTCCACACCGTCTTCAGTCTCATAAGTCAAGATAAGATCAAGGTTCTGAGTCCTATATCGGTCAATCCTGTCTCAGAGCTGGAGGGCTCTTTCAGGCTGGTGCAGGCTGGGAAACACGTCGGTAAATTGCTGCTCAAGTTGGACCACGGGATGACCATTCTTGTACGAACCAGTTTGTTACCCAAGGTCGTGAAATCTCTCACTGACTCTGGCTTGCAGGTCCAACCCCAACAGTCACCGGCTCCTAAGCTGCGAGAAGATTGCTCCTATTTGCTGGTGGGGGGAGCTGGCGGCCTAGGTAGGGCTGCTATCAAACATTTTGCGAGTCTCGGAGCAAAGCACATCATCACCCTGTCTCGATCTGGCCCCGATAGTCAGGCTATGAGAGAACTGGTGGAAGAGATGCGGATAGCCGGAGTTAGCGTCGTTGTCTGGAAGGGCAGTGTTACGGACTCTGCCACTATTGAGTCGATCAAAGACTATGCCAAGGGATTACCAATCAGAGGTGTCGTCCAAGGAGCAATGGTGCTCCAGGTATGTCACAACCGTGCTCGAAAACAAGAATAGATTCTAACGGAAACAGGATTCTCGTGTGGACAGCATGAGCTACGAGCAGTGGCGGGCCGCAATGGAACCGAAGGTTATAGGAACGATGTGTTTGCATCAAGCGTTCGGAGACTCTGTAGATTTCTTCATCCTTCTTTCGAGCATTGCTGGAATCTTTGGCTCCTATGCCCAAGGCAATTACTCTGCCGGGAGCACCTTCCAAGATTCTCTCGCGCGCCATCGAGCCTCGCTTGGCCTGCCTGCGCGGTCCATCGATGTTGGCTCTGTGGAGGGAGAAGGTTACACAGCAGAGAACCCGACTGCCGAGGATTTTGTCGCTCGCCAAGGACAGCGCAAATACCAGGTCAAGGAGTTTTTGGCCACCATCAACGAGGCGATACGAAATCCCTTTGCATCCGACCACTCGGCGGCGCAGCTGATCTGCGGCATTACCAGAGACCATCCTAATTCCCAAGCTCGAGAAGCATCGTTGCAGCGTCCAGATCTCAAGTTCTCTCACATGTGGACGATGCCGGATCAACAACCAACTGCAAGGGCTGAATCGAAACAGCTGGACATCCAAGCAATGCTACGATCGGCAACGACTGCGGTTGAGGCTGAGGAAGCAACGCAATCAGCGACCCTGATGAAGCTGTCCTGTCTGCTAGCTTTGCCTGAGGACGAGATCCGCACAGATCGGTCCATGGCGAGCTATGGAATGGATTCCCTCATCGCGGTAGAACTTCGCAATTGGATCTTGAGACAACTGGAGTCCCACATCCAGATGTTTGAGTTGATGAGTTCGATGAAGTTCGCCGAACTATCGCGCATAATTGCTAGGAGGTCTCGACTGGTAGCGACCGGTCTTTTCAACGATGATAAATAGGCCATGGTAATTTTGGAGATCAACCACCATCGTTTCGAGCCCAGTCTCTTTTGCCGTATGAGTGTCGAAGTGTTTGAGCCAGCGTAGGCTGTGATGGTCGTTCGAGTACCCTGTGTTACGGGGTCAGCACTGTTGGCACAGGTGCTGGGCGTAATTGATGTAAATTGAGCTACTAGTGTAAAAGGGAGACGTGTCCGTGGCGCTCGCACGTGACTAGTCTGGCTATGCCATAACGTCAGCCACCTAGCTTACAGCATACCCCCCTTCCAGCACATCCCTACCACCCTCGCGCCGACGTTAATATTATATCGCAACCGCGTTTTCTCGTGCACTATCCATCTAATAATTATAAATGATATGCTATTGGAATTATAATACCTCGAGCTTTTAAATATACCGAAGATTAGCTCTAGGAAGTACTTTTTAATATTAGAAATAGGATACTATAGATATATACTAGTCGCAAGTAGGGTATTCTAAGAGGCACGCTTTAAACGCGTCTTAAGGGCGCCCTACTAATAAGAGAGGTATAAGAGTTATATTAGCAGCTTAGTTAAGAGTAAGGGGAATACCTTAAGGACTAGATTCTTACTTAAGCTGCTCTTAGGCTACCCCTTATTCTCGTAAAGAAAGATATAAGAAGTATATATAAAATATATATAGGTAAAAGTAAAAGTAAGGGGTCGGATAGGTAGGGTAAAGTTATTTAATTCTTACGGGGGTATTAATTACGGTAAGGGAGTAACTATTATATTACTTTAATTATCTTTCTTTCTTCTATTTAACGCCCCTCTTTATATCCCTTTAGCATCCTAATTAATAAAGAAGATCCTACTTAAAGAAGCTATTAATATCCTTTTAACTACCGAACTTTTTACTAGTTTTTCCTCTTTATTCTAGCCGTTACTAGTATATCTATCTTATCTCTTACTACCTCTATAAGAAGCTATCGCTACTTTTACTTCCCCTCTTACCCTTACCTATAAGGGCTTTTGCCTTATATAGGATTAGACTAGGGTCTAAGCTATATCTATATATAAGCGGCCTCTATGCTTATATAGGCTACGCCTATACTTCTCTTCCTTTTCCTCCTTATAGATTATTAACCTTCTTTTAATAGACCGCACCTAAGCCTATACCTCTACCTACTCTATAATAGTATAATCTATCCTTTATTTTACCCTCTCTATATCCCTATATATAGAATAGCTGTTTTTAGCTACCTTTAAAGCTAACGTTTAATTACCTAGTTTAGTTAAACCGCCCGCGCTAGTATATACGCACGTAAAAATATCTATACTCCTATAGTTATAAAATTAAAGTAAATATAATACTTAGTTCGCCTAGGTAATTATTACGACTATAGTTACTTAGCCGCTAACGGTCGTCTACGTTAAGTATATAATATAGTCTAATAGATAAATAGTCGCTATAACTATCTAATAGATATAAGATCGAAGGGATCGTAGAGATCTAAGTAATCTAGGAATAACGAGATTACTACGCTTTATATAATCTAACGTTAGGGATTATAGCTAGGCCTATAATCTAAGGATAGTCTTTATAGGTATATAGAGCTACCTACTTTTACTCCTTTAAATAGATAGCTCTTTAGCTTTTAATATTAATCCTTATTATAATTCTATCTTTAATTTTAATTACTTAGTTATAGTCTATAGTCTACGACCTCTAACTTATTACTAACGTAATATACTTATTATTACTTAGACTATGCCTTATTATATCTACTAATATAAACCCCTTAATAGGTTTATCCCTTAAGAATAATACTAGTCGTTATATATTAAAAGCTCTTATTTAGTATAATACTATATTAAGCTAAGTAATATTATAACTCTTAATATACTTATATAGTAAGCTAGATTAACTAACTCTAAAGCTACTATATTACCTTAGGATATAATACGCGAGATTATTACCCTTTAATATAAGGTATAGTTACTTAAGAATAAAGGAGGTAATAGATAAGTTAAGGTCTCGCGAAGAGAGATACGAGAAGTATATAAAAATATACGAAGGTGAAATTAGAAGTAAGGGGTCGGATAGGTAGGGCAGAGAGATTTAATTCTTATAGGAGCAGTAATTACGGTAAGGGAGTAATTATTATATTGCCTTAATTATCCTTCTTTCCTCTATCTAACGCCCCTCTTTATACCTATCTAGCATTATAATTAATAAAGAAGATCTTACTTAAAGAAGCTATTAATGTCCTTTTAACTACTAAGCTTTTTACCGGTTTTTTCCCCTCCTTTCTAGCCGTTGCCGGCATATCCGTCTTATCTCTCGCTACCTCTATAGGAAGCTATCGCTACTTCTGCTTCCCCTCTTACCCCTACCCTCCTCTCTGCACCTCCTTTTAGCTCCTTCCTTAAAACCTGTTTTTAGCTTCCTAGGTCCCTCGTGCTAAGGGATATCTCCGAGAACTACGAAATCAGGCTTAGCTATAGACGTCTCCTTCCTCCTACGTGCTATTAGCTCCTCTCGTAGATTCTTAAGGCGGGCTTCTAAGGATAGCTTCTCTCGAACGTCTTCTAGCCTAATTTACTATAAAAAGATAGTTAGCTTCTACTTCGGTAGGGGCTTCGTAAGACTATCGGCTTTTATCGATGCCGTTAGAACCTAACGAACGGAAATAAGTCCCCTTTAGACCTCTTAGCGTAACTAATACTAGTAGATATCGATATACCGTAGCCGGGTTAATAGCTTACTATTTTCCTCTATAAGAATTCGTATAGTCTATGTGTTATTGCATTCTATAGCTAACGGGGTCGGAATTTATAGTTATAGAGATATTAGTAGCCGGCTAAGGAAAATCGCTTCTTTTAACGCTTCTAAGAGAGCTAGTAGCTCTGCCTCCGTACTAAAAGTTATAACGGTAGCTTGCTTCGAAGCTCTCTAAGTAATAGTTCCTCTAAAAAGGGATATAATATACCCTTATAAGCTCTTTCTATCTAAGGAATTGTCCGTAAAGGACGAATCGCTCGAATAAAGGAAGATTTCGGCAGCTTATTTCCTTCCCTGCCCTCCTAGGCGTAGACTATATAATCTCGTTAAATAAAAAAAGCAGGGAGCCTACCTTTTATTAATATTAGTGTTTCTCTTACTCCCTAGCTTAAAAGAACGGATTAGGTAAAAGCTCTTCGTTTAATATAGGCGTAGAGGGAAGCTTCTTATCGAGGGAATTAAGGAGGAATTTATACGCGACCTTATCGATATAGGCGTCTTAAGTAAGCTAGATAGTCCGTTAGGACCTATTCTAAAGGATTCGTATCCCTAGGAACTACTTTAGCTCCCTAAGCCTAGTTATCTTATACCTTTATTATAGGCCTCGTATAGCCTCCCTAGTAGTAGCTTCTTCCTCTTTTAGGTAGGCCTAGATAATATCGTTAACGTAGAAGAAGACCGTGATTTTACCCTTTTATATTATATACGGTTCCTAAGGGACTTTTATAAAGCCTAGGGCTTTAAGGGAACCTATTAAATGCTATTACTAAAGAAGGGGTAATCTTCGTAGTCCGTATAGAGCTTTCCTAAGCCGTAGAACCTTTCTTAGTTATTAGAAACTAAGAGGAAGTCGTATATAGATAACTTCTTCTTCCTTAAGAGGGCAGTTAACGAAGGCGTTAACTATATCTATCTAATCGAGCTCGAGGTCGAATTCTACTACTATAGCTATAAGGGTCCGAAAAGACATCCCTACTAGGGTGGTTGCCTTAGTAGGTAGATCCCCCTTTTCCTATTAATTCCTATAGATAACTAGCTAGGCTTTATACTTTTAAAGGAAGCTGTGTTTATTAGTCTTATAGATAAAGACCTACTTATAGCTAAGGACCTATTTTCCTCTTACTTTTTCCTTAAGGACCTCTTCGAAAGACCCTATCTCTTTATATAAGGATAGGTAGTCTTTCTAGGCCTAGAAAAACTAGTCTTTAATAGGGTGTTTTTCTAGCTACTTTTAGTTTGCTAGTAGGTCTAGGAGGTCTCTTTTATATACCTTCCTTGCTAATAGCTATAGCTTAAAGAGCCGGCCTGCTATAAATGCTCCGTAGGAACCGTCTTCTATAGGCGTTAGATAGAAGTCGGAAAAACAATCGAAATAGGGGAGAGGATAGTCTTCTTTAATATCGGGCCCTATACCTTCCTTTGCTTCTCGAAGCAGGGATAAAAAGGCAGCCGGGTAATCCTTTAAGAGAGGTGCCTTTCCTACCCCCTTAAGGGTCGAGACGGGAAGACTAACTAAAAAAGCTGCTTCTAGATCTTCTTCTTATATAGGAGGAGGCGTAGGTAGGTAGGCGTATTCTAGCTCTACCGCTTTCTTATAGTCTCCTTCTTTGTCTAGATTATCTAATCTAGCAGCTTCCTCTTCGAAGTCGGCGTTATCCTCGACTACTTCGACGTCGGTTTCTTCTTCCGTTTCTTTATCTAGGACCTCTTCTTAAGACTATTAGGAAGGGGGGATTTAAATCTTCTAAATTAGCTAACGTTAAGAGAGTAAGAGGGGCTATTAATCCCTCTTTCCGTCGAAGAAGCTAGATTTATCGAAAATTATATCCCTAGTCGAGATAACCTTCTATAGAAGAGGAATCTAGATCTAGAAGATATTCGTAGAATTATAACTAACGAGGTAACTAATAAAGGCTCTCGGATTAAGCTTTCTTTTCTTCTTCCTTTTTAGCTATATATCGGCAGTTATTACGTATGCCTTATAGCTATAGGCACGAAGGTAGGCTAGCGAGGCCCTCTTCTTCGTAAAGAGCTTAAGGGGGGATTTCTAGTCTATTCCTTAGGTAGTCCCTCTAGGGGTCCGGTTCTAAAGGTAATAGGCAGTCTTAACGACTTCCCTTTAAAGGTCGTATAGAAGCCTTATAGTAAGTCTTATCGTACGGGCCCTTTCTATTATAGCACCCCTTAATCTTTCTGCCCCTCCGTTCTAGGCCTAGGTATTCGGTGCTAATAGGAGGGGTAGAATGCCCCTTTTT